GTAAGTACCAGCCATTACTCCTCGTTCCTTTATTCTCTTTTAGTAAGATATTTGTCGGTGGTATCAGCAGTGAGACCACACCAGAGATGCTTAAAGAACACTTTGCTGTCCACGGGGAGATAGCAGACACAACAGTCATGTACGATAACTCAACTGGAAGGTCCAGAGGCTTCGGTTTTGTTACTTTTAAAGATGCTGCTTGTGTTGAAGGGGCAGTGTGTGGGGACCACATTGTTGATGGGAAGAAGGTCTATTTGTACATGTCATGTCTCTTATGTTTAATTCTATTTATTGATATATACTTTAGATTGATCCTAAGCCAGCCTTTCAAAAGGTATCCATTACATTATACAATGGCGGCAGGATACATGTACATGTATTTTTCCGGCAGGGTTCTGAAGACCAAGTTCAAGCACAGGCACATTTGCATAAGGTTTTTATTGGGGGCGTGGCTCAGAACACAACAGACGAAATGATTGAACAACATTTCAGGCAATATGGCCCAGTGAGTTTCTAGGATACTTTTTGCTTGTTGGAATAAATTAATTTTATTCAAAAATTTTGCCGAGATCGTTTGTTTGACCAAAAGTCATAGCAGACTAGCTAATATAGCAAAGGATTGTAACAAAATTTTTAAAATATAAATTGGTGTCTGTTCTCTAATTAATTAATAGTTTAAATTATTTTGTGTTTAGGTTAAATTGGTTGATTTGAAAAAGGACAAGCTGAAAGGCGGTAGGAGCAGAGGTAAGCCCCTTTACTTAGTCTATTAATTACACTTTACTTATACCTCTTCTTCCTTTCCTGTATGTTGCCATTGCATTACCTTCATAACGTAATCTACTCAACGCTACATGTACATGTACCTGTACTCACTCCACTGCTAACTGTACTCCTCTTTAAATGTAATACCTGCTGCGGACCCTAAGGGTTCGGGTTTGTCTGTTTTGAAAATCCAGAGAGTGCGCTGAGGGCCCAGCAACAGAGTCATCAGGAGATCAATGGAAAAATGGTTTGTAATGTACTAGTTACTGTAGTTCTATTCAAAGAGCACCTAGCGCATGTGTGTGTGTGTGTGTGTGTCAGCATTGCTGTATTTCTTTAGGTTGAAGTGAAGAAGGCTGAGGTTAGGGATTATAAAAAGTATGATCAAAATAGACAGCAGCAGCTACGCCAACAAGGGCACCATGATGTGTACGGCGGCCAGCCTGGTTAGTATTCTAACTCAGTATATTATTAGTATACTCACTCAGTATTTTGTTAGTATATTAGCTATTGGCCACACCTATCCCTAACATTATTATTATTATATCTTGTTGGATCATTAAGTGGCCAATATCATTATACAGTGATCGTCTTCTCTAATTAATTAATTATTTATTATTAATTAGAACCAATTATAGCTGTTACAGATTAATCATATTATTATTATTATTATCATTATTATTTTTATTTGCTAGGTTATGGTGCTGACTACAGCAGGAATCCTCCTGATTTCCATCAACCCTATAATCCTCCTTATGGCGGCACCCAATCACAATATGCCGGATATTATGGTATGTGAACAAATATCACAGAATTCAAAGAGCCAGTTTAATTATTAATAATTGAATAGCCTGCAGTGTTCCTTGCTGCTTGTTTTGTTCATAACTAGTGAGGGTCAGTTCAGGCTAAAATCAGCTAGTTATTGTTATTAATATTCATAGCAGTTATAAAGTTACTGCTATCATTAACAATAGCTCACATTATTTGATTGGGTAATCTTGTATGTTATATTGGTATCTTTTGTGCGAGTGTCTTTCCTAAGTAAAAGTTAATGTTATCATGTATATAGGATATGGTAATAATAGTGCTGGCAGTTACGGCCAGGGTTCTTACTCAGCTTATCAAAGTGGGCCCCAGGATTATCCTTATGGCGGACGGGGGAATTCTTATGGAGGCAATCAGGACTACAGTTACATGAGAGGGTTTACCGGAGGTGGGTGTGGTTTGATGTTGCCATAGTTACTGATTGTTTTTAGGCACACAGCAAGTTCCAGGGTATCATCATCATCCCCCGGGACCCCTCCCACCTCCCCCACCCCCTCAAGATGGGGGGGCACCCACCGGATTCACTCAACCACGCAGTACTTACACTTCAACAGCTGACACCTTCTCAGGTCCGTTAGTAACATCTCTGTATATTATTAGTATATCATTAGTATACTATTGGTATGTTCTTGTATACTATTACAGTATATTTCCTCATCAGGTCATCCTCCCAATACATACGGAGGTTACAGCACTCCTTCAGACTATAGCCAGTACAGTTACACTGATCAGTCGGTTCCAGCTGCTACTCCTGCTAATTATGGGCGGGGCACTGCCCGGCCAACTGGCCCTTATAATTATGGAGGACGATGAACATGATTGCCAATGACCTTCTTTTGTCTATTAATTAATTAAATAATTATTTTTTGTAAAAGATCATCTGTTTCATAGAAAGAATGTGATTTTCGATGTACATGTTTATTCCCTGCGCATGCGCAGTACACCTTGCTGCCAATAGGTGTGGTTAATTATTGTGTGATGTGTTATTGTTGTACTTTGTAGCTAACCTCATAGATAGAATAATCAGTCAAACTGTAGCCTCTAAGTTAAATCTAGTTAAATCTTACCTTTAGTTAGTTTAATATAGACATAGGTTAGTTACTGTACTAGTCTTAGGCCTATAGTTTAGTGGATAGATACAGCCTAGAGTAACCTGTACTTATATATCATGGAAATGCAAGGAGAAGGATCCGCCATTGAACCTGGGTGAGAATTACCAAGTTTGTTTTATGTATTGTATCTACTGTTTCTCTTTAGTAAGATATTTGTGGGCGGTTTGAGTTGGTCTACCACTGAAGACACTTTCAAGAAACACTTTGAAGCTTATGGGGAGATACAGGATACAAAGATAATGATGAATCCAGCGGGAAACCCTCGAGGCTTTGGGTTTGTGACTTTTAAAGATCCAGCCTCAGTCACAAAAGTATTGCAGGAGAAACACTACATTGATGATAAACTGGTAAGAACACACTACCTCTTCTCTCAGAGGTACTTCTGTTTGAATCAGGACATGTCAAAACTTTGTCCTGATCTGTGATTGAAATGTAACAGCTTTTTTGGGAAAAACCATTGGCTATAGTCCATGGTTTGTTGGCGAATATTTGCTATGGTTACGGGACCAAATCTTACATGTAACTCTGTTTTTACATGATGACCTAATTGTTAAATAATGTCATAATTATGGGAGAACCGTTGACAAGTGGATTGTTGTTTATATCCTCATTTTGTTTATACACTAGGTTGATCCCAAGCCAGCAACATTAAAGGTATTCACTGTGTCATCACTGTATTTATTTATTTACCTCCCTCTTAGCCTCCTAATAGTTCTACATCAGCTAACAATAAGGTCTTTTTAGGAGGTCTGCCAGGACACTGTACACCTGATCAAGTTAAACTAGCTCTGAAACCATATGGAAATGTAATAGGGAGAGAATCTCTCTTCACATTTCATTTGAATTTATTTTCAGGTTACGAGTATTGATATCAAGACAGACAACAATGCGCCTAATTCTTTACCAGGAGAAAATAAGAAGAACCGAGGTAACCGTAATGTTATTACTTTATCTCTCACTCCCTCCCTCTCACTTCCTCCCTCTCAAGGGTTTGCTTTTGTTGATTTTGAAAATGAGAAAGAGGCACAGGCTCTCTGTCATGCTCATTACATAACGATTGACTCAAGACAAGTTGAAGCTAAAAAAGCTGAACCGAGACACAAAAAGGGAGGGACTGGACCAGCTGGAGGAACAGCTAAAGATGGCACGGGAGGCTATCAACAGTCTGGTAAGTTTTTGTCACTGTCTATTTATTTATTTATTTATTTATTTCTTTCTTTCTTTCTTTCTTTCTTTATTTATTTATTTATTTATTTAAAGGTCCTTATTATGGAGGTGTTGGACGTGGTATGGCAGGTGCAGCTGCCACTGGTAATCCGTATTACCCTTACTATCCCCAATATCGTAAGGATAGTCACAGTTATATTTTATTGCTCTTGTTTTCTCTTCAGCTTTTTCACAGTATTCACAGTATGAGTATTATGGAAGAGGAAACTATGGTGGTATGTCCCTGTCTCTTTTGTTTGTTTGTTTGTTAATCTCATCTTGTTTGTTTCTTTATTTGTCTAATCTCATTCATTCACATTATGTCTGACACATTCAGGTCAGCAGCAGTTAGCAGCTGCTGCCTATCATGACGCCAGTAGTGGTGCTTTCTCTCAAGCCAGAGCAGGTGGCTATGGATCCAGCACTGAACACTTCAATGGAGGAGGTGTGTCTTCATTAATTGAAAGGGAGGAGCCTATTATGTGTTGATTATTATTATCTTCCTACAGCTGGATTCACTAGTTATGATCAGTCTCACATAACTGCAGCTGCTACTGGTTATTACGATCAGTCAGGGACCGGAGGGATATCCTATAGTAGTCACACCCCCGGGGCCACAGCCCAGCAGAGAGGCAGCTACTCCTATGGGAGGAGTTAAGCTGTGGTCGTCATTGATTGACACTCAGTGAACTTGTTTTCTGGTTTCATGGCTTCTTTCTTTCTTGCATTTTCCATTATGCATTTTTAATTAAAGAAAAATTGTATTTGTCATCATCATAATGAAACTTTGTCACATGGTTCCACGTGACTCATTGATTTGAGCATGCTCAGTTCTGCCCACGTGGTACAACGTGGAGATGAAGAGGAAAGAAAGAGTTCCTCCAAAGCAAACCTTGTTCACTTACTTCAAACCAATACAGACACCTCCTTATAAGGAGAAGGGATCACGTGATGATAGGAAAGATCAGGAAAATGAGGAACCAAAGATCAAGATGGAGTTTGAAACCACACCCACCAGAATCAAACAACAACCGGTGGAGACCGACAGTGATGAAGATGACATGATTGGGAGGACAAAAGTATTGTTTATTCATTTATTTATTTATTTGTTATAGACTTTGTCTGGTCGTATTAAACGTAAGTCCTCCATGAGTGTTGAAGAACGTAGTAAAGTAAATAAAAGGAAGAGGAGCAGTCGGTTCCTTGAATCAGACGAAGAAGAAGGTTAACAATAATGCGAATCATTAATTAATTAATGATTCAATTAATAGATAATAGCTCCTTAATAGAGGAGGCATGGCCAGAAGCTGATGACGTCACTCCAATGAAACAGGTAAGGAAATTATATTCTCTAATTGTTTTAAAAGTGTGCCAATCTCACTTGCAATTAAGTACAATTTTCATTTAATGCCCTTATGCTGTGTAGAAAGTTTGAGGTGATTCCAACTTCAATTTTTCAAGTTATGACCATTTTTAAAAAATGCTGAAATTTGAAAAATCCCTAAGGCCATCTTTTTTTTCCAAAAATTGATCTGAAATCACTCCAAATTTTTATTAAATTTTCTAATACATATTGATGTCCTTATGCTGTGTGGAAAGTTTAAGCTGATTTTGAGCTTAAATTCTAATTATGAGTGCTTTTTAAATTTTCCATTAAATTATTTTTTAGCCAAAGGCTCAGTTTTTGACTCCTAGAAGCTGTTCATCAACTCCTAAAGTACTCCTAACCACACCCACTAACAATAGTCTGCCGGTAAGTCTATTAATTAATGATATTTATTAATTCATTATTAATAGGTCACACCCTCTGGAGGTGTGTCTGTTGGGTGTGGTCTTGATAAAATTGGTACTTTTCTTCATGACACTCTTGACTTCATTAAGGACGCTAATAGACGGTATACTGGTATATTGACTCATTCCTTATAGCCACGCCCTCTTAATTAGTGACAAGAATAAGGTCCTGTTTGGTGACCCGAACCATAATCCTCGTACTCTACTGGTAATTAGACTGTTGCTATGGTTACCAGTACATGTACTTTGTACATGTAGGTGCCGCAATTGTTTCTTAATAAACTGACACCTGCAATGAGACAATGGTGGAATATTAAATCCGATAATTATGACACCATTTTATTTTTTAAGGTATTATTATTATTGTCATTGTTATTATCATTGTTATTATCATTGTTATTTAGGTTGGTAAGTTTTATGAGTTATACCACATGGATGCTGAGGTTGCTGTGAAGGAGCTGAAGATAGTCTTCATGAAAGGTGATTTCGCTCATGCTGGGTTTCCAGAGAAAGCTTTTGGGAAGTACTCCCAGACCTTAATACAGAGAGGATATCGGTAGCTCGGTCCATTAATTATTATTGATTAATTAATTAATTAATATCAGGATTGCTAGAGTGGAACAGACAGAAACTCCTCAAATGATGGAGAACAGAATAAAGAAAAGTAATTGTATATACGTGTACATGTACAGTACATGTTTATTGTTGTTGTTGTTGTTGTTGTTGTTGTTGTTGTTATAGTGGCCAGTACCCCCATGAAGTTTGATCGGGTGGTCTCTCGTGAATTATGTTCACTAGTCAGTAAAGGTCAGTATACTATACCCCAGACCCCCTGGAGACTAATATTCATAGGTTCCAGAACCATTGGATTCTTTGAGGGAGAAGAACCAGAAACTGATTCAGCTTACCTCCTATCAATAAAGGAAAATGTATACTGATACTCATACTCAATATTCCATTCTCATACTTTGGTTCCTATAGATTGGTTCCTGTTCTGGGACTCAGTTTGGAGTCTGCTTTATCGACACATGTATTGGAACATTTCATGTAACCATAGAAACAGTATATTAATGATACTTGTCCCTTTTTCCATAGGTAGGTCAGTTTGAAGATGATCGTCAGCTCTCAAGGTTAAGAACACTCCTGGCTCATTATCACCCTGTTGAGGTAGGCCACACCCTCCAATCACTCTGATACGTTAGTGACAGGTTATACTGGAGAGGGGTAACCTGTCATACAGGACTAGTCAACTGGTCAGTCAGGTTCTGTCCACTGCTCTTAAGGACACCCTATCACCAGGTGAGCTCCAGGGCATGGCTCTATTGGTTCCTGTATTTGCTGGTTTTTTAGGTTCTGAGTTTTGGGACGCCACTAGGACACTGAAATATCTTATTGAAGAAGGATACTTTGAACAAGTGATTTATTTGTTTATTTATTTTTCTGTTTGTTTGTTTGTTTGTTTGTTTGTTGATGTATTTATTGTTATAGAACACAGTACATCCTGACCTCCAGAAAATGATATCTGATGGTATATGAGTGTTTCTATTCTCATTCTCATGTTTCCATTCCAGAGGACAGTTTGGGAATGAGTCCTTCCCCTGGCTATGAACTGGCCCTCAGTTCCTTTGGTGCTTGTCTTTGGACATTGAAGAGGTCTTTGATTGATAAGGAGATACTCCAACTGAACCAGTTCCAAGTAATTCCATGCACACACATCATGTGCTTACACCTCCTGTACTACCTCAGGAGTTTGTACCGGTCGACCAGCTGTTGGTTTTTGATGAATCATTAGTGTCTGGGGAGGGTGTGTCCCCTGACTCCGCCTCTTTTAACGTTTCCATGACAACTTGTACTCAATCTCCAAATCAAAAAATGGTAATTAGTTAAATTATAATTGAATTATTTAGTTAATTAGGTTCTGGATGGTATCACGTTATATAACTTGGATGTTATTGATAACTCTGGCTCTGGTATTGGTACCTTACTCCAGAGGATTGATAATGCCAGTACTTCTTTTGGGCGGAGACTATTAAAGGTCTGGTTGACAGCTCCACTGTGTAACCCAGCTGGTATTAGAGAGAGACAAGAAGCAGTCACTGAACTAGTTAATAAACCACACTTACTACCAGAGATAAGAGAGATTCTCAAGTCATTACCTGATTTAGAGCGACTGTTAAGAAGGTGCAAAGCTAATGTACATGTTACTGATGTACATGTATTAATGTGTCCTTTAGGATTGTGGTGCTGGGGTCAAAGGTCAGGTCTGAGTCCCATCCTGACAGTAGAGCCATTCTTTATGAAACCATCACTTATAAGTTAGTGCCTCCTCCTGTATGATATGTTAATGTTTTGTAGTAAAAAGAAGATTAAAGATTTCCTGTCCTTGCTTGAGGGTTTGGATAAAACTACTCAAATTGTTGAGTTATTCTCTTCTCAATCGCTGGCATCAAAACTACTCATCAACCTAGTCACACTACAAACTGAACAAGGTTAATGCAGAGATGTCTTCAGGTGCTTTTTTAAAACGTGTCCTTATTTCTTTAGGTCAGTTTCCTGATATTAAGGATCAACTCCAATATTTCAAAGCTGCGTTTGATCATAAAATAGCTAAGGAGAGAGGATCCATTATCCCTTTACCTGGTGTTAATGAGGAGTATGACCAGTCACTGGAAGAGATAAGGCAGGTTGAGGAGGAGCTAGAGCAATACTTACTGAAGCAAAGGAAGAGACTCAACTGTAAAGTGAGTCCATTGGGTTTTTAATAAGTTTTAAAGTTGCTCCAAAATTGGATAAAAGTCCCTGTACTATAGTACAGGGACTTTGGCCAAATTTCACCAAAAATAAAAAGTTTAAAATTCTAAGTTTTTATTACATTTCCTGATACATATACATGTTCTTATGTTGTGTAGAAAGTTTAAGGTGATTCTGATCAAGTTTGGATTTTTTATGAATTTTTAAAGTTGCTCCAAAATCGGATAAAAGTCCCTGTACTATAGTACAGGGATTTTTGTAAAATTTCACAAAAATTGACAAGTAGAAAATTCCTCAATTTTATTACATTTCCTGATGCATATACATGTACTTATGCAGTGTAGAAAGATTGAGCAGATTCCGATCAAGTTTGGATTTTCTATGATTTTTTTAAAGTTGCTCAAAAATTGGAAAAAAGTCCCTGTACTATAGTACAGGGATTTTTGTAAAATTTCACAAAAATTGACACATAGAAAATTCCTCAATTTTCTTATGTTGTGTAGAAAGTTTAAGATGATTCTGATCAAGTTTGGATTTTTTATGATTTTTTAAAGTTGCTCAAAAATCAGACAAAAGTCCATGCACTATAGTGCAGGGATTTTTGTAAAATTTCACAAAAATTGACAAGTAGAAAATTCCTCAATTTTATTACATTTGCTGATGCATATACATGTTCTTATGTTGTGTAGAAAGTTTGAGATGATTCTGATCAAGTTTGGATTTTTTACGAATTTTTAAAGTTGCTCCAAAATTGGATTAAAGTCCCTGTACTATAGTACAGGGACTTTGGCCAAATTTCACCGAAAATGAAAAGTTTGGAATTTTAAGTTTATATGATATTTCCTGATACATATACATGTTCTTATGTTGTGTAGAAAGTTTGAGATGATTCCGATCTAGTTTGGATTTTTTACGAATTTGTAAAGTTGCTCCAAAATCGGATAAAAGTCCCTGTACTATAGTACAGGGACTTTGGCCAAATTTCACCAAAAATGAAAAGTTTAAAATTCTAAATTTTTATTACATTTCCTGATACATATACATGTTCTTATGTTGTGTAGAAAGTTTGAGGTGATTCTGATTGAGTTTGGATTTTTTATGAATTTTTAAAGTTTCTCCAAAATTAGGTAAAAGTCCCTCTACTATTATAGTACAGGGACTTTGGCCGAATTTCACCAAAAATGAAAAGTTTAGAATTCTAAATTTTTTATAATTTTTTTTTGATGGCTCACCTTCTCTATAATTTGACCAAGTCCCAGTACATACCAGTTCCAATAATTCTATTATCGTTGTTTTTAGAATATCAGTTATTTTGGTACCGGACGGAATAGGTACCAGTTAGAGGTCCCTGCTACAGTACAGGTTCCTGACGATTATGAGATAAAGAGCCAGCGGAAAGGATTCCTGAGGTACGTCACTCCAGAAACCGAAGAACTAAAGGCCAGACTAACCACTGGAGAGGAGACCAAAGAGACTGTACTGCAAGGAACAGTTAGAGACCTGTTTCACTCGTTTGGAGAATAGTCAGTTGTTATTATTATTTACTTGTTTATCTGTTTAATTTATTTATTTGTTTGTTTATTTTTTAGTTTTTCTCTTTGGGACGGTGCCATTAATTGTGTATCTGTACTTGATGTCCTTGTTTCCATGGCAACCTACAGTTCAGGGGAGGAGGTTATGTGTGTTCCTCAAGTGACGGCTAGCGAGTTTCCTTATTTGGATATTAAAGATGGCCGCCATCCTTGTGTGATCCAGACCTTCACTGGAGGAGAATTTATACCAAATGACATCGTTATTAATCCAGATAGGGTCTGAGACATATATTGATATTGAGATATTACCCCTTGAATAGGCAGCAGGAGGTAAAATGTGTACACTAGTCACCGGACCCAACATGGGGGGAAAATCAACCCTAATGAGACAAACTGGACTTATCGTCATACTGGCACAAATGGTAAGAACTAGGTCTCATTCTCATTCTCCATATTCCAATCCCATTCTCATTCTCCATATTCCAATCCCATTCTCATTCTCCATATTCCATTCCCATTCTCATTCTCCATATTCCATTCCCATTCTCATTCTCCATATTCCATTCCCATTCCAGGGTTCCTATGTCCCTGCCAGCAGTTGTTCTTTGTCTCCAGTTGACAGAATATTCACGAGATTAGGAGCCTCAGACAGAATAATGTACGGTACGTTACCATAGCAACATGTGTCACACCCACCTCATTATTATCATTATTATCAGGAGAGAGTACCTTTTATGTTGAAGTGAGTGAGACTAACCTCATTCTCCAGCACTCTACCCCTCACTCACTGGTACTCCTTGATGAGCTAGGTACTGGTGTAGCACCTGTATAGAATGTATTAATATAACCTCACTCCTGCTTCCTTTTAAGGTCGTGGGACTGCTACATATGACGGGTCGGCCATTGCTACTTCAGTTGTGAAGTATATCTCAGAGAGGAAAGGATGTAGGACCTTGTTCTCCACTCATTATCACGGACTGGTTGACCTCTTTAAAGACAGTCCTCACGTACAACTAGGACACATGGTATCATAGCAACCATAATGATCTCATTATTATTCATGCATGCATGCAGTCGTGCATGGTCGGAGAGGAAGGGGAGGAGTCTATTACATTTTTATACAAGTTTGTCCCTGGGGCCTGTCCTAAGAGCTACGGGTTTAATGCAGCAAAACTAGCAGGACTACCACAAGAAGTGAGTCCATGACCTCTTGATTTTACAGCAAGTTGTAATACTAATCATCATTATTGATAGATCATTGATGTTGCCAAGGAAACTGCTCGTAATTTTGAGAGATCAACTCTGAAGACACAATTAATTAGGTAATTATTGGCTGTTGCTATTGGCAACCAGATAATGAATATATAATTAATAGGGAACTGTTATCTGTTGGTTCAGTTCCTCCAGTGACTGTCCGTTCACAATACAAAGCAATGATCAAAGACATACTTTATAACTAATGACACAACTTTATAACTAATGCACTCTCTGTCATTTAATCACTTAAAAATTAAATAAAAATAAAAAACTCTCTCACTGTGTATCAGAAAATGTTCTTAAAATGTAGAATTCTCAACTTTTCATTTCTGGCAAAATTTGGCCAAAGCTCTTGAATTGTACATTAATTATTTAATTATCAAAAATTATATCAAAATAGTGAACAGGAGTCATTAATTATCATTAATTAATAAATAAACACACACACACACAATCTATTCAGCAACAACTAACAGACAACATATGAATAATAACAACAACAACAACAACAATAATAATAATAATAATAATAATAATATCATTAATAATATATGCTAGAAATCCAATAATTTTAAATGAATATTAATAATTATATTAATGGTGCATATAATAATGTACTGTAGCTAGCAGCATCCTCCTGATTTCTTTTTCGTTTCTTGTTCAACATGGAGGACGTCTTTATCAGGAGCCTGCTGTTCTATTGATTCATCATTCTCAAGTATCTATTAATAATAATAATAATAATAATAATAATAATAAAATAAACACTCCATTACTTTAGCTACAAGACATCGTGCTGCCTCATCGATTCCGATATTTTCTTTAGCGGATGTTTCGAACCAACCAGCAAACCCTTTCTCTTTACAATAATCATCTAATTGTCCAACGTTGCCAAGGAAACCTTCACTAGCTAAATCACACTAAGAGAGACACAATGATCACCATGACAACAGGTCACCATGACAACAGGTTGTGCAACGTACAGTACATTAATTTCATGGAGCAAAACTTTAGCAAAATATAAATATTATTATTATAATCATATGAAACTTTTTGAAAATGTTAGTACCACGCCTTTAATGGCAACTGAAATGGGTACCTTGTTCGCTAGTAGTACAGCTGGTATTGGCTTCCCATTGGGGAGGAGGACCTTGTTATCAAGGTCAGACTTCCACATTGTTACAGCCTCAAAAGTCGACAAACGAGTCATGTCAAACACCACAAAAGCTCCTACTGCTTCTTTATAATACACCTGGAGTAGAGGGTGTGTCAGTGGGTGGAGTCAATACGAGTACTTACCCTCGTCATGTTACCAAAGCGCTCCTGACCTGCGATATCCCATAGCTGTAGCCTGATTGTAGTGTTGTTGTCCCAATTTAATACTTTGAGAGCAAAATCAACTCCAATCTACAAAATAATAACTTATTACTAACTTGTTAATAACTAATAGAGATGCTGCCAAAATATGACTAAACACATGATCATTAATTCATTATTAAATTAACAAATAAAACATTAATTCAAGTCCAGGACACATGTTATGAAACAATGGCCATACATGTACATGTACTATGCAGTGACCAGAATGTGTGTGTGTGTGTGTGTGTCTGGAGGTGAGTATCAGTAATGTAATACCTGAGTCCCTTGATATCTGCCCTCAGCTTCACCTCAAGCAGATATCTCAGTCCTCAGGCATTACCTACAGACAGGCTGGACTACATGTACATATTCAATAAACACAGGACATGCAAATATATGAATATTATTAGAAATACTAAGAGTGTGTGTCAGTAAAAGGATGAACTATTTGTAAATCATTGCATCAGTTTTGTTTAGCTCCTGCAGCATAAGCAGTACAAGTACAGGTACATGTACATATATGTCAAGATGAGTAACTGAGTGGAGAAATGATATTCATAGATACAATAACCTTCTATACATACTATCATGTGAATCACACCCTCAAAATGGAGAGAGGGAAAGAGAGAGAGGGGGGAAGGAGGGTGGTACCAGGTGGTAAAGAATAACATTGATAATGAGAAACAAACAATAAACAACAAGAAATAATCGTTGAATCCTAACCATGCTACTACTAAATGAATAAATAAATAAATGATATGACATACTGTTGCTCTGTAGTGAGGTGAAAAGAACTGATGTACGTATCTCTTGATGATTGAGGTCTTCCCAGTACCGAGATCACCAATCACCAACACCTTGTAAAGGTGCTCCTGCTTTCCTCCTCCTGTTGCCTACAAAGGAAATAAATTAATTAATATTATTAATACAGTCTTTGTTTCAATTCTCCCTACAAGCTAAAATACAGTCAATCAAAGTCCCATTGCATTAGAACAGGTAGTGATAAACTTACCATCTTTAGTTAGAGCAGTATCTCACTCGAGATCTCACTAGATTAGTGACTGACAGAGGAGAAAGGAGGAGCTTTATATGTTTAATAATAGGTCACGTGTCCCTCATCAGCCCCACCCCCAGTTAAAACTCCAGGGCGTGGCTCATTATCAGTGTTACATAATTATTGCTATTCACATAAAATTTGGTAATTTTCACATGTTTCAGCTCAAAGCAGGTCCATGTTAAACCGGATTTAGCTATGAAGCACCGTTTGCATGCAAAAGTTTACTAGTAACTAAAAGAATAGTCTGTATATATCTATGCACGATCTAATGAGATTCATCACCGTGACTTAAAGCACCCAATCATCACATGACCATAGAGGAGGAGTAGGAGCTAGAGAAATGTCTGAAAAGGAGTCCCTCTTGTCCCCAGAGCCTCCAATATACTCTGCTACTGAGCTGCCCGGCTATAAGCTACCTAAAAGACAAGGTGTGGTTGTAAAATCTGCAAAGACTGTATGGCTGGGAACAAAGGCAGTCTTAGGAGTGCAGAGCTCCAATGGGGAGGATGGAGGGAAGGTAATGAACCTCCTGAGTTCTTGTTAATGATATTAGCTGCACCATAGGGTCAATTCAGCTCTTCACTAGGAGTCCTTCTCTCCATGTTGGGTTGTGTAGTTGGAACTGGCAACATTTGGAGGTTCCCTCGTATAATGGCTACGCATGCAGATGAAGGAGGTTTAGTGAGACCATTCATATCCAGTATTTATCTTTATCATTAGGTGCACTGGTCTTCCTGTTGGTTTGGTTCCTGTTCTTACTCATCTGGTCCATTCCAATATGCCTCATTGAGTATGGGATTGGTAGATACACTAAGAAGTCAGTCATAGAGTCTTTTGCTAAAATGATTGGTCCATCTTACCGCTGGATGGGAGTATTCATATCACTGGAGACCCTAGCTGTTGGGTAAATCACTAAATATTGATGATGATGATGATGATGATGATGTACTACTGTAGGAGTTTTTATTCAGTGCTGTTAGGATACTGTGCCTACTATTCTGTGTTCTTTATAGTAAATAAACTACCCGATCAGCTAGAAATAGCTGAAGGACACTTTGATGACCTCATTGTAAGTATCAGTAGAGTACAGTGCATAGTCTAATGTTACCCTACTCTACAGAACAGTCCCTGGCCCATCATCTGTCATTTGATTTGTATTGGACTGGCTTGCCTTGCAATATCAAGAGGAGTCTCTTCCATTGAGCCAGTCAATCGGATCATTGTACCCACACTACTACTCATAGTCGTGTTCACCTTCTACTGGGCACTCTTCATGCCTTATGGTGGCATGGGGATCATACACATGTTCTCACCAAGTTGGAGTGAGCTTGATATTTAAATTTACAATTTATGTATTTATTATTATTTTGCAGAGTCTTTTGGTGATGCTGACCTGTGGAGAGATGCGTTGACACAAAATGCGTGGGATACAGGTATGGCAGAGTGGTATGATATTGAGTATTCATTGTTGATGGTGTTGCTGTTAAGGTGCTGGAGGAGCTTTATTCTTAACTTATGCCACGTACATGAAGAGGGAACAAGGTGTGGTCAAACTAGGATCAACAACTCCAGCACTGAACAATCTAGTCAGGTAAAGCAACAGTGAGTCAGTGAGTAGCATAAAGTACTACAAAGACTTTGGATGGTTTGTATAGCAACTTGTGATAAGAGAGTCACATGCTGTATAGTTTATTTTATATTTCATTGGTGCAGTTTGCTCTGTGGAATGACCGTATTCTGCAACGTGTTTTCGTTTGAATATTACAAAGGAAGTTCTATCACTGAAATTGTGGATGTATTGAAGACAAATGGTCCATTCAACACTGGAATAACCTTCATACAGTAAGTATGGCATATCCACACATTACAATGGCCCATTCCTGCTCATAGAATGCCACTGCTGTATGGTAGTATCAGTGGTGGAAGGTGCCTGGCTATACTGTTCTTCTTCTGTGTGACATTGGCTGGCCTGAGCTCACTTATATCAATATTGGAGCTCTGTGTCCATGTCCTTGAAGACTTTGGAAGTAACCCACCACCTCATTATTATTAATATAAATGATAATCTGTTACACAGTTAGGAGGTGGCTTGGCACCATTATTGTCTTTATCCTTTCATCAAGCATTGGACTAGCATCAGCTCTGAGTAACACGATATTTGCTAATCAGGATGCTGTTTGGAGCCAGGGGCTTATAGTCTGCGGCTCACTCCTCATCTTTTTGGTGATACGCTACGGAATATTCAAATTCAGAAAAGAATGTGTGAATGAGGTGAGTACAATCAGGACTTAGATCATTAGTATCAATTTGTTTCTTGTCACGTAGTATGGTATCAATGATTGGCCCCTGCCTTATCTATGGGTCTTCATTGTACTGTAAGTTCCAGCATCAAGTACAGTATAAGTATTATCTTGATCATTGTAGGATTGTGTGTCCCATTGAAGGTATTGGCATGTTGATTTGGTGGTTGATTGATAGCATCATAAATGCATCCGACCCATACGAGGAGCCAGGGGCCTGGTGGATGTTCCATACTACATCTTTATTCATGGTCTTTACTCAGGTATGATATGATCACCACCACTATTGTTCTATTGTACTTATTATCTCTTCACACAGTGGACTATCGCCATATGCATCAGTTTACTACTCAACTGGTATATTAAGCCAATCAAACGCATTAAGAGGTTCAACATTGAGTTTACCAAATCTTTCAGAAGCTACTTTCGTGACAGGATCCTTCCCTGGATAATAATCCATGAGCCGGAGCCAATCCTTCCTCCTATTGATGGTGACCCACCCACCACTAGCTCTGAGGCCACCATTGGTGAAGGATCTGAGAACAACTACCCCATGAAGAAGAAGAATCAAAGTCCTTCTTTTAGGAAACTGGAGATAGATGATATTAAAGATGAAACCCTTTAAACACCTAATACTATACATATACATGTACCAATGCTTATAATACAGGTAGATTGTGTACATGTAGATCAAGGCATTGTGCTATGACCTTGTTTTGCTGATTACAATATTTTTTGCTGTTTAATATTATTATTATTATCCTCTTCTGTTTTTTTCACTTTAAAGTATAAAAATACGTATAATGTTTAACAACTTGGTGGAGCCTAGTCTTAAGTATAGCAGTAAAAAGTACAAGTTTTGTGGGTGTGGTCAGCAGCACCTATATAAGGAAAACCATTCCTTCAGAAACCATCACTTGATTAGCGTCTTGCATCTGATCAAGAGCTAACATGATTTCAGCATTAGTGAAGCTCTGACTTAACGCAGTGTTAACATAAGACTCAATGCGTTCAATAGTAACCGACTGAGAGTGCTCATCAGAAAAGGCTTTATGTACCAGGGACCTGAACTGGGCCATCCTACAGGAGAGGGTGTGGCTAAATGCATTAATAAAAGAAGCAAACCTCTCAACTGATATATCACTAGTAGGAGGAGCTGGTTCAGTCTCCATGCCCCCCTCTGCTGGGCTAGTAGGGGCTGGCCCTCTCTCCTCCTCCTCCTCTTCTCCTTCGCTCTCACTGTCAAAATCATAAGGATCATATCCAGGCTCCCCTGGTCTCTTCTTATGATGTCTTTTAGCAGGTGGACCACCTTCAACACCACCAGTCGCTTTCCTAAATTAAATCAATAAATAAATTATTATTATTAATCATTGATGACCTCTTTTTAGCTGTTCTTCCATCTTCAGTTCCTCCATCTTGTTTCTTCTTTTTTGGTTTTTGAGCAACTTTTTTAAAGTAAGCAAAATTAACAAGATCAATGGCTGCCTCTGCATCAGTCTATAAATAGTAACAACATGATGTATCTATAAATAGTAACAGTGTATGGTAATGCTTACTTTCTCAACTCTCTTGCTCATTCTTGCTTTGGCGTGAGCAGTTGACAGACGAATGAGCGTCTCCAAAGTACGGGCAGTGACAGGTTGGGTCTAATAATCAGTCAATCAATCAATCAATCAATCAATCAATCAATCAGTCAATCAATCAATCAATCAATCAATCAGTTAATTAATAATATATAGTAGGGGAGGGGAACTGACCTTAGCCTTGTCATTCCCAACACTTTCCTGTGCCCTCAGTTTAGTGTATTCCATTGCTATCATATCACACGCATCTCTTGTAAGCACAGGCTATCATTAATTAATTAATTAATTAATTAACTCATTTATTAATACTTTTAATCCTCTGGCTACGTGAATGTATTTCCTCATAAATTCTTTTGACACAAACTTCTTACTAAAACCAATTAAAAGATGACATCATCAAACGTCAACTTACGATTTAGACTCTCCATGGAGGAGGTTGTTGTGTTTATCAAAAATGGGCGTGTCTTCAGACTCCTTCTCGTCTCCAAAGTTTCCAGTGCCCAGGAAATCAGCCACGCCCCCAAAAGTCAGAGCTACAAAACCAAGATTTTAATAATAATAATAATAATAATTAACCCTCTCCATCTTGCTCCTCCTCGCTCCGATAGCGGTGCATTCTAAGAACATGATCTGATATCTTCCGATCATGATCCGGATCCATCTATTAATAATCAATCAATTAATTAATCAATCAATCAATTAATTAATTAATTACTTCATCCAGTACAATAAAGAGAAGGTCAAACCTAGAGAGGAGAGAGTCCTGCATTGCTATGTTGTCCATTGGTGGTTTGTACTCGTCGTACTGAGGGGGAGGGGTAATGATGGGCATTAATTAGAATATACACCCACCCTTCCATATATGGGGTTAGCAGCAGCCAGTACAGAGCACCTGGCGTTCAGTTTAGCATGAATACCGGCCTTCGCTATGGTAACACGACCTTGCTCCATCACTTCATGTATAGCAGTACGATCCATATCACTCATCTGTGGGTTGGTTAATGGGCGGGGTCAATGTTGGCTCATCATACCTTATCAAACTCATCAATACAGACCACACCTCTATCAGCCAGGACCATAGCACCTGCTTCTAACCGTCTCTCATCTAATAAATTAATAAAGTACATCAATTAATTGAAGTTACATAAAGACTTCTCAACTTTTCATTTTTGGTGAAATTTGGCCAAAGTCCCTGTACTATAGTACAGGGACTTTTACCTGATTTTGGAGCAACTTAAAAAAATTTGTAAAAAATCCAAACTTGATCAGAATCAGCTCAAACTTTCTACACAACATAAGAACATGTATATGTATCAGGAAATGTGATAAAAACTTAGAATTCTAAACTTTCCATTTTTGGTGAAATTTGGCCAAAATCCTGTACTATAGTACAGGGACTTTTACCCAATTTTGGAGCAACTTAAAAAATTTGTAAAAAAATTCAAATTTGATCAGAATCACCTCAAACTTTCTACACAACATAAGAACATGTACATGTATCAGAAGTATTACTTGTTTCCTGGTCAGTAGTTACGGCTGCTGTAAGCCCCACCCCTGAAGAGCCACGCCCAGTTGTGGTAACAGCTCTTGGTGCAGTGTGAAGAACATAGCGCAATAACTGGGACTTAGCTGTGGAGGGGTCACCCAACATAAGGACATTAATATCACTAAACAAACAAATAAATAAAGTATAAACAACATATTAATTGTTAAAATGGTGTCCCTTACCCTCTCAGTCTGGTACCATTCTCCAGTATCTTCTCCACTCCTCCTAACAGGACACAAAGAATTGCTTTCTTGATGTGAGAGTGTCCGTGTATTGATGGAGCTATAGAATGCGACAATAGCTCAAATACATCCTAAAAACAGATAAATGAATTACCAATTACATTATTATACTTACATATTTAGGATTTCGACAGAATCTCTTAATTTTAGCAACATCCCTTGCTGAGAAGGTAGGAGCCACTTCCTTACTCAGGACAATAACATTATTGGCTATTATTAGAGTCTTGAAGGTTCCAGCTGTATAGTTCTGCTGCTTACTAGGGAGGCACCGGTAGGCCCCTACAACCTGGAGGGAATAAGGTCTGACGCTAATGTTGTATCCAGTACCATTAGCCTCAAGTACCTGAATCCTATCTCCTGGTTTACACGAGTCAGTGAGATCCCCATCGAGTATAATATCAACTGATCGTGGCAACTGACCAGCTGGTGCCTTCTCTGGCATTTCTTGAACAGTAATTGACTGATGGTCACGAAATAATGACAATCCATACTCAGTCTCCAATGGGTTACCGTCTTCGTCCTAAAGGGGCGTGGCCAGTCATTAATAAAAGTAGGTGTGGCTTACTTTAGTTGGATAGGCACTGCTGGATGGGAAAGGGTCGAGGGAGGTCAGGTCAGTATAATGGCGCTCAAGAGTCTTCTTGGTTGCTGGACAATAATGGACACTCTTAACGACCTTGGGCCGTATTAGTGAGCCTAAGGTGAGTCAGGTGACAGTCACATGACAGTCAGGTGATAGACACACCCACTTACACTTTGTTACTATGCCCTCAAGACAGACAAGGTTGCCAAGGTAACGGGAGGTGAGAGACCGAGGTGTGACGTGCTTGGATCCAAAACTTCCCTCAAAACCGACAAAGAACTCATCAAAGAGTTTCCCGTGAGCAGCGTCCACTGATAGAATGTACTCTTTCAGGGCCCGCTGTAAAATATGATGGGCAATCCAATAAAATTAGTTAAGGATAGCCCAGTTAATTTTTAAAACAAACCTGAAATGCAAGTAATTCCGGTTGGGCCTCATTTAATAACCTGTATAATTAATTAATTAATTAATATTATTATTATTAATAATTACATTGATTCTCTTTTATTATTTCGTCTCCGGAGGTCGTTCATGTTAACTATTAGTCTCTGTTTCTTTTCTTTAATTAAAGTCCTCACTTTGTCAACATACACTCCTTCTTCACTCTAGAGGAGGAGGAGGAGGAGGAAAAATAAATAAAATTATAAAGCTACAGAAGGTCCTCGTTCTAGTGATACTTCATCATCCAGAAACTCCAAATACTGTCTCTGGAATTCTCTCAGCTCTTGTTCGGCGTCCATAGCTAGTGTCAGTGTGCTTGGTCTAGAGGAGAGAGAGAGGTGTGTGTAGTGTTATTCCATGAGGTGGAGCTAATTTACCCGCCAAAGCCTCTGACCAATCAGATTAGAGGACTCACGTGCTTGCCCAACATGATAAGAGGTTGTTTCTTATCAGGAGATACTGTCCTGGTATGGAGTCCACAAGGTTAGGGGAACTGGTTTAACTTAATTCAAACTGTTACACTGCAGGTGCCATTAGTTTAAGGAGGGATCATAGGATCACCGGGTCCCTTATAGGGGGGCTACCCACCAGCCCTAGACAAAGGGACTACATGGGACTACCTTTAGAACTCCTGCCTGAAGAAACCAGCCTCCTCTTAAAGAAAGGTAGCAGCTGTTCATGTACCGATCATCTTATAGTGTCTCGTTTAGGATTGATATACATTAGTACTTATAATGAGCCACACCCAGATAATGAAACTAAGGCAGTCATTTTTATTATTACAATTGACATGATATTATTTTAATCATAGATTGTACATTCATCAGATTGTACTGATGCCATTGATCATGTTAACACTGATACTGTTAACACTGATACTGATTATGTAAATTGGAATTGGCCTTCAACAGATGAAGAGGTTACAGAATGTAATCTACATTATGTGTAACTTGAATGTAGTATATATATATAGGTCTTGAGATTTAGAGTTTACTCTGACCTATGGCAGAAAGGATATTACATAACATCTGGTTTGAAATATGGAGGAGAGTATCTAGTCTATGAAGGTATGATTAGACTAACCTATTTTGTTATTGTTGTTGTTGTTAGGTGATCCAGCTATTGTTCACTCACATTTTATTGCTAAACTGCTTCAGTGGGATGAACCCATTTCTCCTCTTTCTTTGGTTCAAGATGGTCGATTAGGAGGGAAAGTGAAGAAGAACACAATATATTGTACAGTTAATCCAACTACTGACAATGTTGAATATTTAACTCTTTCATGGTCAGGAATTTCTTAATGTTTTGACAGTTTCTTGTATATCACTACTGTTGGAGTCATATGATCGAAATAATGTGCTACAGCAACCTGTGAATGCCAGCTAGTCATAAGACATTGTGTAATTCTTGCTGTGAGTCTCCAGTTGAAAGAAATGGCTTTTTGTAGACTTGTTTTACTTGCTATTGGTGTCTGCTGTCTAACTAAAACTAGTAATGGAGATGATCTTGTTCTTGCTCTAGAAGATGAATTCAAGACATTCAACCTGAGCCTATGGAAGCATGAACTGACGCTATCAGGAGGTGGTAACTGGGAGTTTGAAGCATACCTCAACAACCGTTCAAACAGCTATGTAAGAGATGGTGTATTATATATCAAACCGACACTGTTGGAGGATCAGATTGGGTTAGCTAATGTCAAGGATGGGTTCGACATGAACATTTGGGGAGGATCTCCGGCTGACCTTTGCACTCAAAATGAATTCTATGGATGCGAGCGGACTTCAGGGGCAGGTGGGAATTATTTGAATCCAATCAAATCTGCTAGGCTCCGGACAGCAGAGAGTTTTAATTTCAAATACGGGAAGGTTGAAGTAAAGGCCAAAGCTCCTAAAGGTGATTGGTTGTGGCCAGCAATATGGATGCTACCAAGACACCAGCAGTATGGGATGTGGCCAACAAGTGGAGAGATAGATATCATGGAATCAAGAGGTAATCCCCCCAGCTATCCTCCTGGAGGATACAATAGTTTTGGCTCTACACTTCACTGGGGAATAGACTATTTTCATGAGTTTTTTTCCAAAACACACGCAACCAAAACTGGCACTGACCTTACTGCTGACTTCCACGTGTACGGCCTAATATGGAATGAGACATACATTGGTACTTATTTTGATGATGAGTCCAATGTTGTTTTAAGTGTACCAATAAATCAATCCTTTTGGTCAATGACTGGCCTAAAATCTCCACCATGGGACAATCCTTGGGTCGGTGCTGGTAACAATGCTCCCTTTGATCAGGAGTTTTATCTTGTCATTAACTTAGCTTGTGGAGGGACAGTAGGGTATTTCCCAGATGGTAACGGTAAGCCATGGAGTGATACCAGTCCTCATGCGGTTAATGAGTTTTATGATGCTAAGGCACAGTGGTATTCAACATGGGAAGGAGAGAGCAGTGCATTGCAAATTGAGTCAGTAAAAGTGTGGGTCTATCCTTCAATATCTACTGTTAATGGTCACCCAATAAAGACAGAGTTTGTGAGGGACCCTGCTACTACTGGTCCTCATTACTCTAATTGAAACCTGTAGAGACAGGCTAGTGGTAGTGTGTGGGTGTGTGTGTGTTATTAATTTAAAAAACAGAGTTGATTTTGTTTTTAGTTGCTTGAATTTTTTGTGTTTTTGTACTAAAGACAAAAAATTTAATTATTTGGGTGTGGTGGTATGCTCTTGATTGTAATAAAATGGGCTACTGATTACACATAGCTACCATTACTCTTCCTGGCCTGCAGCAGAACAGTCACAGCTCCAGTCAAGAATAATCTCAAGACTTGATTTCAAAGAAAGTAAGTGAAGTAGACTCTCCAGTAACTACACTATTCATGCATGTATCAGTTCTGCATTCTGTCCCTATTACATAGTGTATAAATTACAAGTGTACGGTTGCACTAATGAATCTACCCAAAACATTTCAGAATCTATTCTTCATTCTTAGCCAATAAGAGCTCATACAGCATATGTAAATCATTTAGTCAGCTATAAGTACTGATGGATCAATAGCAGTGTACTTGTATTGAGGACAATTTGAGGTGCATTGTTTGTTGAGCCCAACAAGTCTACATAGAATGAAACATGCCAAGAATAGTCCTCTAGTGAGTACTAGCTATTCTTGGCAACAAAAATTTGCATGTACTTCATGCAAAGTTTGACAAACTTGCTGCACACATAACAGTGTAGATTGAAATAGCTTAGTGAATCAGGCGCAATTAAGGAGGAGTAACTCCGAGTAAGCATGCAAGTATATACAACAGAGCATGAAAATACTACAAATTAAATATACTGACGTTCCATAGTAACTTAAGATTAACAACATTTGTGACGCTCCATAGTAACTTAAGACTAATAACATTTGTATAGCAAATGGAGCAAAAATAACACCAACAGTTTATGAGAGGAGTGAAATAACATACCATGAACTGTTTTGATGTTTAAAATAACAAACACGATGAATCTATTCAGTGATATAACATACCATGAATTGTTTTTGATGTTTAAATAACAAACAAGAGTTAATATATTCTTTCACATTAGATTAAGGATGAAGATGCAGAGTGTCTGTACTGTTTCCATTTTGATGTTTCTCTTTGTGCAAGCTGCCAATGGGAGACAACTACGTCTTGCTCTGGAGGATGAATTCAACACATTCAACCTGAGCCTATGGAAGCACGAGATTACACTATCAGGAGGTGGTAACTGGGAGTTTCAAGCTTATCTCAACAATCGTTCAAACAGCTATGTCAGAGATGGGATACTCTATCTCAAACCAACACTGATGGAGGATCAGATTGGGCTAGCTAATGTCAAAGGACAACCGAATGGGTTTACTTTCAACATTTGGGGAGGAGCACCTGCTGATCTCTGCACACAGAACCAATTCTATGGATGTGAACGTGTGGCAGGCCCAGCTAATGAATGGAGGTATTTGAATCCAATCAAATCTGCCAGAGTAAGGACAGCAGAGAGTTTTAATTTCAAATACGGGAGGGTTGAAGTAAAGGCCAAGCTACCAATAGGTGACTGGTTGTGGCCAGCAATATGGATGCTGCCAACACACCAGCAGTATGGGATATGGCCATCAAGTGGAGAGATAGACATCATGGAATCAAGGGGCAATAGTGTGGAGGATTACCCATTTGGAGGCTATGAAAGTTTCGGATCAACTCTTCACTGGGGAATTGACTACCTCCACAATTACTTTGATCAGACCCATGTTACTAGGACACCAAATGTAAACTTGACTGAAGAGTTTCACGTGTATGGCCTAATATGGAATGAGACATACATTGGTACTTATTTTGATGATGAGTCCAATATTGTTCTACATGTGCCAATAAACCAATCCTTCTGGTCTAGGACTGGCCTGCAGTCTCCACCATGGGACAATCCTTGGAAGGACACAGAGATGAATGCCCCCTTCAATCAGGAGTACTACCTCATTATGAATTTAGCTGTTGGTGGAGTGACTGGCTTCTTTCCTGATGCACCCAATAAGCCGTGGCAAAATGGTCACTCTCATGTAGCGAACCAGTTCTATGATGCTAAGGATGATTGGTACCCAACTTGGGATGGAGAGAATAGTGCACTCCAGATTGACTCAGTGAGAGTATGGACATATACTGATGATGATAATAGCACTGGATCCTCTGGTGGAATAATGGTCTCCGCTGTTTCATCTGCTGCTATCTTCATTCTTGCTACATTTGCCTTCCTTATTGCTGCTAATTAACAATCATCATTACACTCTGCCATTTTAACTTTTACTTGAACTAGCTGCTGCTGCTATTGTCATTGTTACCCCCTTTCTTTTGATATTTAAGCTGCTTAACAATTATATTTTCCTTTTTATTTTTTGCCATCATAAGCTTTTTTCATTAGATGAATTCATTACAAATATAGTCTATAGACTCAGGAACAATATTCATAGTTGAGCAGCTTAACTGCTGAGGTGTAGATGAGTGCTGAGTGTATGCTACAACCAATGAATCCAATTACAATAGCACACCCACCAACTTTACTCACTCCAGCTTCCTAAAGGATGGACATCAAATGTATGTCTTGTTACTATTTCCTGTTCTTACTCTTGGTCACAACTAGCAATGGGAGAGAGCTCACTCTAGCTCTAGAAGATGAATTTGATACATTCAACCTGAGCCTGTGGAAGCATGAGATTACACTCACTGGAGGAGGTAACTGGGAGTTTGAAGCATACCTCAACAATCGTTCAAACAGCTTTGTAAGAGATGGTGTATTGTATATCAAACCAACACTGTTGGAGGATCAGATTGGGTTAGCTAATGTTGAAAATGGTTTCACTATGGATATATGGGGAGGGGCTCCGGCTGATCTTTGCACTCAAAATGCTTTCTTTGGCTGCTTACGTAAATCAGAGAAGTACACAGGAGGATCTATACTGAATCCTATCAAATCTGCTAGACTCAGGACAGCGGAGAGTTTTAATTTCAAATACGGGAAGATTGAAGTAAAGGCCAAGCTACCAATAGGTGACTGGTTGTGGCCAGCAATATGGATGCTACCAAGACACAACCAATATGGAGTATGGCCATCAAGTGGAGAGATAGATATCATGGAATCAAGAGGTAATGCTATTGGTTATTCTGAAGGAGGCTATGACAGTTTTGGATCAACACTGCACTGGGGAATTGACTATATGTACAACTTCTTTCCTCAAACTCATAAATCAGTTACCATAGGGACCACTTTAGCTAATGACTTCCACGTGTACGGCCTAATATGGAATGAGACATACATTGGCACTTATTTTGATGATGAGTCCAATGTTGTTTTAAGTGTACCAATAAACCAGTCTTTCTGGTCTAGGACAGGACTATCAACAACGTATTGGGACAATCCTTGGGTGGGTGCTGGTAACAACGCTCCTTTTGATCAAGAGTATTACCTCATTATGAATGTAGCAGTGGGTGGAACCACTGGGTTCTTCCCTGACGGACCTCATAAGCCGTGGAACAATACAAGTCCTACTTCTGTCAACCAGTTTTATGATGCAAAGTCCTCATGGTATCCAACTTGGGATGGTGACAAGAGTGCATTGAAGATTGATTCAGTAAGAGTTTGGACTTATTCAGATGGAGCTACCAACTCTCCTGGTTCAGGAGGTGCCAAAGAAACCGTCTCACCATTTCTTGTTAGTTTATTTCTAATACTTGCACTATATGCAACTGCTACTGTTATGTAATAGTATATACTGTTACTTTTAACTGGTAGTATTCTGCTGAAGTTTTTTAAAATGATGTTGCTTTCACTTAAAATTAATGCAAAAATGAGTCAAATCTATTTTTGTTTCTTGTCATTTTTTGCTTTACTGCCTTTCATCTTAGCAACAGCTATCTGCTGCATTATTGAGCAACTTTCCACAAAAAGACAAATCTAATTATATATTCATAAATATCAGTCATTATTATTATTTTTATTATTGATTACCAGTATTACAAAGCACTCCAGTAGTAGAGGTATTGATAGAATTAATGATATAAATACACCAGTTGAATCAAAATACTGCTCAGATAAAAACTGGCTAAAATAAATAAATAAAACTTGCAATTTCATAAAATCATGACTCACTGAGAATTAGCAGCTGCCCATTCATTGATATATTCACCAGCAAAACAAACCAAACCTGCAAAGAATCATTATTTTATTTAATTAATCATTTATTGACAGTCTTTAAACATGTACTTATGTTGTGTAAAACTTTGAGCTCATTTTAATAAAATTTAAATTCTTTACAAACTTTTAAAAGTTATACTCAGAAATTGGGCTAAAGTCCCTGTACTATAGTACAGTGACTTTGGCCAAAGTTCGCCAAAAATAAAAAGTAGAGAATTCTCAGTTTTTATTACATTTCCTGATACATATACATGTTCTTATGTTGCGTAGAAAGTTTGAGGTGATTCTGATCAAGTTTGGATTTTTTACAAATTTTCAAAGTTGCTCCAAAATCGGTTAAAAGTCCCTGTACTATAGTACAGGGACTTTGGCCAAATTTCACCAAAAATGAAAAGTTTAGAATTCTAAGTTTTTATTACATTTCCTGATACATATACATGTTCTTTTGTTGTGTAAAAAGTTTGAGGTGATTCTGATCAAGTTTGGATTTTTTACAAATTTTTAAAGTTGCTCCAAAATCGGTTAAAAGTCCCTGTACTATAGTACAGGGACTTTGGCCAAATTTCACCAAAAATGAAAAGTTTAGAATTCTAAGTTTTTATTACATTTCCTGATACATATACATGTTCTTTTGTTGTGTAAAAAGTTTGAGGTGATTCTGATCAAGCTTGGATTTTTTACAATTTTTTAAAGTTGCTCTAAAATCAGACAAAAATTTTGGCTAAGTTTTGCAAAAAATGAAAAGTAGAAAACTCTAAATTTTTCTGATGCATATGAAGTAAAAAATTACCTAATATTAGAAGTATAGCTGATAATAAATATGGCCTCCTCCTACATACTAATATACACACAAGACAGAGTAAGTGAAAAATAATGACAGCAATTAGAAATGGTTCACTCCAATTGACCTGTTATAATAATACAATAAAATTACATAAAAATATTCAAAAAATTACTTTTGAAATGACAGCCAATAAAAGACCAACATCAGTAGAAATATCACGATCTTCTTGTAGCATATCAGCTCCAACTACTTCCACTGTTGGAGCCACCATGTTTAGTGGGCGGGGAAAGAGAATAGTTATTAAATGCGTGGGTGTTGGTTGCTTTTGAGGGTGTGGCTGTAAATCTGTCATGGCTGGTATTTCAGTGCCTCCTTGTGATTTGCCTTCAGCTGATACAGAAACAGCTAAAGAAGGAAAATATGAATGTAAGGACCTTTAAAACACTTTGAACTAATATTAATTTATTTTGTAGACCTGGATCACACTGCTGATGTGCAGTAAGAGTCTATTCTAATTTTATTTATTAATTAATTTATTAATTTATTAATTAATTAATTTATTTATTTATTATTTTAGAATACATTCTTGTATCCTCTTACTAATAATAATACAATAATTATAATTAATTAATTAATTATGTTACTTCTTTAACAGTACAAAGGGGGAGACACCCTTTCAGAAGCTTTTGAACAAGTGAGGACATAGCAACACATATATATGTATCAGGAAAAATGGAGAAACCTCTACTTTTCAATTTTGGCAAAATTTGGCCAAAGACTTTGTACTATATAGTACAGGGACTTTGGCCTGATTTTGGACCGACTTCATAAACTATATTTTAGGCTGCGGTTGCCATGTTTGGGTATATGACAGAGATTGATAAAGTGAGTCCTTCCTTTAAAGAGACAGTGACAGCTGAAGGTGATGATATCCTTTCGTTGCTCTATCACTTTCTGGACGAGTGGCTGTTCCTATTCTCAGCTGAACCTTTCTTCATACCCCGGGTTGGTTTATTATTGTCATCATCATCATCATCATTATTATTATTATTATTATTATTACTATTTAGTATATTAAAATAACTGATTTTGATACTGAAAATTTTAAGATTACGTCAGAAGGGTGAGTAACCAATGTAATTATTATTTATTTATTTATTTTAGTTTTGGTGAGGTATTTGATCTCAGCAAGCACCCTCAAGTGAGTAATTAAATTCATTGAGTCAGCTGACAGTCACATGACCATAGGGAACTGAAGTGAAGGCCATTACTTATTCAAACATGCAGGTCTTCAGCGAATCAGAAACTCACGACGTGTACGTGATTATTGACATTTAAAAAATAGTACTGATCATCCAGTTATATTTTTATAATAATTATTATTAATTTTAATACAAACAATATGAACTTTATTGAAGTGTGTGTGTATGTATATCTGATGTTAGTTCATCAGTGTCTGTGAATACAGTGAATATGTATTTATCACAAACACATCACTTTACATCAGACACACACACACACACACACAGTTACATAGCATTGGATAGATCTGATAATAATAATAATGGAGTTAAATGGCACACACGTCAGTACAGGCAGCTGCTTCCTCTTGAAGCTCCTTCACTTGCTGAGTCTTCTCTTTGCTAGTTGCAACAGGTTCAATTCTTAATCATTAAAATATAATTATTATAATTAATAATAGGGTTATACTCTTACTCTGAGATTCCAAGGGTTCTTAAAATGGTCTCATTAGGACAGTGTTCCCCAGGGACCTCCTCTTTATGAAACAGAAGGAGTTCTCCTCCCTTACGAACTACGAGTAGTCCACCATTTTGCAGACCGTCTCCACTAAAATTTCCTTCAATTTTCTTTTGTTTTGCCTAAGGAGAAGAGAAGGAGGTAAAATGAAGAGAATGGAGTGTATCATTTTTATTTTACGTCAGAAATTGCTTTTTTAGAAATTGCATTAAAAAAGACTGTTTTTAGAACACTAAAGAGTCCAAACCTACCGTACAAGATGAGAGTAAAATGAAGTATGTTATTTCACTTACCTCTTGAATTGAAGGTCTTTGTAGCATTTTTGTTTCTCGTCTACATAAACTTCACCGGCAAGAAAACGTTTTGCCACAAACTCTTCAGCCCCCAAATTCTCCAGACCCACCCCGACCAGTTTCACTCCATTCTGTGACAGTGTTGGCTAGGAAATGGAGTTTGTATGGTACAACATTAATTGTTTATAGTAAGCAACAAGTACTAATATGGCAGATACTACAAGTATTATGTAATATTACAGAATGCCCTCATGAGTTTTGCTCAATTTACAATAAGAATTAGCTCCTTCCTTACATATTAACACTAGTAAGTAGCTCTCGCCTACCTCTATCTCGCTGACATTAAAAGCTCCGAGCCGACATATTTGTCATCCAAATCTTCTCAAAAACATGATCACCACATCATTGTCTTTCCATAGACCAGACACAGGAACCGTCTAATGAAAAACAGGAAAGAGAATGTATTGATTGAAAATGAAGCAGGGAGTCTTCTTTAGGAGCTCTACCTCTTTAGTCTGGACGCTAGTGATGAGATTATCTTGTATCTTTTCTAAAATAGAAGGATCAGGAACAGCAGGGGCCGCTGCTGCTGCTGCTGCTGCTGTAGCCATTGCTTTATCTGTTAGCTAGTCCAAAATAATGAGCCACACCCATCACTCAGCCACTAATTGCATAATCAAACACAAGAGGAAATCATATCACATTTATTTACTATTATGTAAGACTGGTCTGTGATAAAAATGATTATAAAAACTATAGACTCTAGGAAACATTGTGTGTATTTAAACTAAGAGATGATATATCATCAGTTTTGTGTGATTGTAACCTTTGTCACACAAACATCACATCATCCATAGAATAAACACACTTTCATTATATGATATGATAATAATATGATACAAGATTACATGATGCTATTTTAAAAGTAAGTGAGACTATAACAATATTTACTAATCCTTTCCATAAATGGATGGATGGATATATTTTACTTCTTCCATTTCTCAGTAACTGAAGGTGGCTCTGTTGTCCTAGAGTATAAAGTTAAAGAATAAGTTGCTATTTCTGATTACTCAAGTATATAATTAAAGCATAGTCTATTTAATATTTATTCATTTGCTTACTTTGTGATTCCAAGAGCTTTTATTATTGTTTCATCAGTACAAAAGTCTCCGGGGAATTCTTCTCTATGGAGGAATATCAGTTCGCCTCCTTTTCTAACGATGAGGAGTCCGCCATTTTGAAGACCGTCTCCTTTAAGATTACCTTCAATGTTCCTCTCTCGTGCCTTTAAGAGAAAGGACACATGATTCAATTATTATGATTTAAATGTGTGCAAGATAGACTGACCACAAAAGACAGTAACCACTCAAATTTGCTTGTATAAATAATGCATTATACTGATGCCTACCTCTGCCAATATCTTGGATGAGTAGCTGGATATAACGGCTTTAAGAGCTCCAAGGACGCCATACCTGGCAACATAAGGCAGCAATGTATCAACTGATTCACATTATTGGCGTCTACCTCTTAAAGTTGAGGTCTTTGTAGCATTTTCTTTTATCATCAATGTAGATGTCGCCTGCAAAATACTTATTCTTCACAAAATCTTCTACCCCAAGACTTTCCAGACCAATCCCAACCAGTTTAATCCCATTAGATGATAATGTTGGCTGGAGAAAGAGAGGATTCATAACAAGTCAATACAATCCTCAGTGTACAAATAACGAATTAGCACTGTTCAACCTGATATAAACATCATTGGATGAAAGATGTTAGTGGATGCCAAGTTCAACTACACACACACACACACACACACGCACACACACACACACACTGGCTGGCTGGCAGTGGCTGCTAATTCAATTATATACACAATCTGTGACATGCTCAGTGGTGAATGTGGCATGCTGAAACTTCAGTGCTACAAATTTCATAAATTGCAAGAATTGTTTTTCACTGCAAATTTAAGGTATTCAAGAGCCAGAGTTAGTATCTTTATAGTGCTTACCTCAATGTGGCTGATTTTAACAGCTCCAAACCGACAGATCTGTCATCCGAAACGACGGAAAAACATGATCACCACATCATTGTCTTTCCATAAACTCTCAATAGCAACTTTCTGAAGTTTTAAAGACAAATAAAATGAATTATAAATGAGTTCTGCCACATAGATCTAGTCTACCTTTCCAGCTACAACTGGGAATATGGAGTTAGATCTGATACTGTCCAATACTGGAGAGGAAGCAGAGCTGGTGGCCATTGTCCTTCAACAATCGAATTAACAAGTTTCTAAATGACATAACAAGTTCTAGTCTTTTATAATAAAGTAAACTAATTAATTAAAATTTAATTGAGCCACACCCAAGTTAATATATTTGACTATGAACTGAAAATAATTGTCTGAATTATTATTTCTTTAATAAGGAAAACAGTTTTCCCTTCCATTCGACCAATTGACCATTCAACCATTGTCTATTGTGATCATATGATACATAGAAAGCACTTCCAACCAAAGCTCCACCCACTAATGGATAGAACACTCTTTTAAATAGGCCCTCTGTGTGGGAGAGAGGGAGGGAGAGAGAGATAAGATGAGATGATTACAAATATTTAAAAACTTTTTAACATACTTTTTCTTGCAATTAGGTATCCTAGCAACGTAGCTCCACCCACAGACCCACCCAGAACTAACGTACTGTCTTTGCTTATCCCATAATAGTGTAACCACTCTGTTTTAATTAATAATTATTAATCAATTAATAATAATTAATTAATTAACATTACAAATTGCCCATACCTTTAATATTGTGGTATTTTCTCAATGAGTTTCCTTTAATTGTTTTCCAGTTGCCCTGAACAGTATCATCACGTGATGCACAGCACATTCATGTACTTACCTCATATTTCGAATACTCTTCACAAACTGCTCGTCGTATTTTACTGATTTCATTTTGTAAAGGAAGAACTTTCATTTCATATTCCAATTTAGGAATCTCCTTTGGATATATAGACCAGGAATACTCTTTCTAATGCAGTTATAATACATGAATTGATTCATTTTCAGTCAATACCTTTTTATCGTTCACCATTTTACTTTAGCTCCACCTCACTCAGGTACCCACGTGGTGGCACGTGGGCCAGTAATAGGTGGGGCTCGAATTAAACCACGCCTTCAATAAACACAATGGCTACCAGCAAAGAAGAAGAGAAGAAGCTCCTTCTTGAAAACTCCCCACTGTACGGTCGTATGTCTGTAGTGTGTCATACAGTGATATTCCTCTATGCCACTGCCTTCTGGATTAACATTGGAGTCTTCCCCGTAACTTCCTTTATATCAATATTATTGAGTATATATTCTTTCTCATTTTAGTTTTTAACAAAGAAGTTAGGGATAGACACGGTCATATTTGGTTACCTCCAGACAGTCTCAGCCATTGCTCTTCTCCTCGGTGGGCCATTGTTTGGTCGAATGGGCGATATCTTTGGAGCTAAAATTGTCTTCTTGATATCTTTTGGAGGATCATTCTGTTTTTATTTCATCATGGCACTCGCTAATAATGCATTCCAGCTCTTTATATCCCAGCTGTTCTCATTTGCTATGAACGCAATGCAATGTGAGTGAGTGTGTTTAAGACCCAGTACTTAAGAATTTGATACTTCGCCAGACCCCTTGAGATTTTAAATTGTTTTTAGGTGCTCAAATGGTGATGACTGATGTCACAGGTACAAGAGGTATGCACTGTGCTATTTTTAGCTATGATGTAATGGTAATTGTTCTATTTATAGATCGTGCAGTAGCAATGGGACGGCTGACTGTGGCATATGGTTTAGGAATGATTGTAGGACCCACTCTTGGAGGGTGGGTCACTCTCTTCTTCAACGAGCAATATGCAGCTGGTTGGTTCATATTATTAGTATTATTATTATTGATTATTATTAATTATTAATTAGCTGCAGCTGCTTCTTTGATGGTTCTGGCATTTCTTATCATTTTGGTTGTGATGCCAATCAAAACTAAAGACCCTAGAAAAGTGGAAATACTTGAAATACCAGCAACTAATAATAATGGTAACGGTAACTGTAGTAATATTGTATGCTGGATAAACCTTTCTCTCTCTCTCTCTCTCTCTCTCTCTCTCTCTCTCTCTCTCTCTCTCTCTACATCAGATAAGAGTTTGTTCAATTTCAAGGCCATCTTCTCCCTCCTGCTCATACCCCAGGTGTTCTATCTCATCGGAGTCAAGACACTGGTTGGTATTCCAGCTGGAATATTCCACTCAATGTTCTCAGTGGTTAATATGGAGAGGTTTGATCTAACTCCTGAAATGAACGGATACATACTAACTTACATTGGGATACTGACTGCAGTGAGTCCCTAGTGTACTGTGTACATGAGCTTTGGTATTCCATGAATGTAAATTATGAATTAGCTATACATGTACATGTCTATGTACACAAGTATTTATTAATTCTGGTATATTACCTTCAGTTAATGCAAGGTATTGGTATAAAGTGGTTCACTAGTAGATTCAGTGACTCTAAACTCATTCGTGTCTCCATTATTGTCATGTCATTGGCTTATCTTATGTTGGTAAGTGCAGCCATTACCTCTTCCTGTCTAGTAATCTTTATTTAGGTTCCTGTCAATACAATATGGCTCCTTGGTATCGTGTTGATCCCAATGGTCATGTCACGTAGCTTGTTGAACACGGGTTGCTTCAAGCACATTAACCAAGAGCGTCTCTGATCAGCACACTGGTAATGATTACCAATAA